ATGTGTCGACACTACACCCGTGTCGGGTTTTTGGCCTCATGTTGCAATTTCTTCAATGGTAAAATAGCAGATTTGGTTCCTGACTTCTAGATTCTGCACAAGTTGATCCTTAAGTCTCTGATATCTTCAATTCACTTCTAAAAAGTAGGATTTCTTCCAATTAAATCCTTTCCTACACAAAAAATGAAAACCATCTAAAATCGAACAAAATCCCATAAGACTCAACCAAATATCAATAATATCAAAGTAAAAATTTCCAATTAATATATATATAAATTTAGCTCATCATCTTGCTAACAAATTCCCTAAATTGTATACTTTATCAATAGAAAAAGAGAGTACGTGCAATCAAATGGGCAAAAACATAAATGGATCATGGGAGTAGAATCTAGTATGGAGGAGAAAATTATTCGATTGGGAAGCTGAAAAGGCCAAACAACTCCAAAGGATGATAGCGGACGTGAAGATTTCACAAGGAAAGCCTGATGCGTGGGAGTGGGTTCACGATAAGGATGGTCATTATTCAACAAAGACGGCTTACTCATTGTTGACACAAGAGCAAAAAGGATCAAGGGGAACTGAAATCTTCATAAGAATATGGAACCCTCTATTTCCAAGCAAAGTTTCAGCATTCAATTGGCAACTGGTGCTAGACAGAATTCCAACAAGGATGAATTTGTTAAGAAGAGGGATTACTAAGGACATGGAGGAAGGAAGGTGCGCTATATGCGAAGAAGCCGATGAGAATGCTGGGCATCTATTTTTAAATTGCAAGTGTGCTCGTTGGATATGGAAAGCTTGTGCTAAATGGTGGGGAGCTAAGATATCATTCGGAACATATTGCTGGAACACTTTTCAAAATTTTGGAGCATAGACCAAGAATAAACACACTAGAGAAGGATGGGACTATATATGGAATACTGTTATTTGGTCCATATGGCTGTCTCAAAACCAGAAAATATTTCAGGATAAAGAGATAAATTTGGGGAAACTATTTGAACTCATCAAACTAAGATCCTTCCTATGGATTAAAGCAACAAATGACAGGTATGCCTTCAGTTTAACTGATTGGCTAATTAATTCTATTGTTTGTTTGAAAGTCACAAATGGTTCAAGAAGGCCTCATTGAGAATTTAATTGACTGTAGTGTTGTTCATAATTTATGGGGTTATTTAAGTTGTAATCAATGCATGCTCAATGACTTTGCGTGCCAGTGGGTTTGACAAATGGGAAGGTTTTGTGGATCTGAACAATGATTTATGAAGAAACTGCAAAAGTGGACAAAAGCTCGACACGTGTATAGTGTCGATACGTTCTTTTGGTGTCGACACCATATGGTCAGCATCCAAAACTTCGACACGGATGTGGTGTTGACACATATTTTGGGTGTCGACACTATACAGCAAGCGTCCAAAACATTTAATTTGATACCTGTCAAGTATGATGTATGGGTTTAGGTATCGCTGTAGTCCGGTTATTAATAAATATTAATTTTTACTGTTTAAAAAAATACTAAATTATTTAATTAGTTGATTAAAATTTAATATTAATTATATGGTATAAATTTTATTATTTAAAATATTAAAAATTAAATTTTATATTATTTAATAATTAAT